TTGTTAACATTTTTTACAAGTCATATTCATTTGTTTATTTCCCCACCCCTGTGAACATCCAAAACCGACATGGCCTCAGATAGTTTTATCAGCAAATTCCAGTGTATAGCTCTCAGATAGTAAAATCCTAGAAAAAGGATGAATCACCATCCCAGGCTTGCAAATTTTACAAATATATGGCCCTGGAAAGGCTTTGCTGGGGCCCTTCCCAGGGATTTGGAATAAACCATGCTGGGAAATGTCCTTGACACATCATTAGCCTAGCAATCAAGTTTTGTATTTAACTTAACTCTGTGTGTGTGTGTGTGTGTGTGTGGTGTGTGTGTGTGTGGTCACGGATTGAACTCAGGGTGTAGAGCTACATCCCAAGTCCTCAGCTTGATCTTTTAAAATGGAAGATGATGGATGGAAAGACCGCTCACTGGTTAAGAGCCCTTGCTGTATAATCAGGAAGGTCAAAGTTCAGACCCAGCACCCACATAACACACATTAATGCACATATAAAAAATAAACAGATATGTCTTTATAAATAAAATGGAATGGTTGCCTTGTGAATCTGTGTATTCATATTTAATATATTGTATGTAGACCATGCTTGTATGTAAAGCATAGAAATTACAGCCATATATTCTTTATGATCATACTTGGTTTGATTTTCCTCTGGGGTCCCATGTGTTGAAATTGAATCCCCATTTGTGCAAATTTGATCCAACTCTGGAGGCGCTGAGATAAAGCTTCAGATGACTGGGATTTGATAATCCCAGGATATCAGGATTTACCCTCCTGTTAGCTGTATAAAAATAAAGGCCGGAAGACTTGCAGAGCATACATAGTTCATCTCTGTCCACAGGATGTCCTGTACCACCCTAGGCCTCTGCCAGCTAAAAAGTCATCACCTTAAAGATTATAAATTAATATAGCTGGGCAGCGGTGGCACACACCTTTAATCCCAGCACTTGGGAGGCAGAGGCAGGCAGATCTCTGTGAGTTCGAGACCAGCCTGGTCTACAAGAGCTAGTTCCAGGACAGCCTCCAAAGCCACAGAGAAACCCTGTCATGAACAAACAAACAACAAATCTCTCTCTCTTTTTTTTGTTTTTGTTTTTTTAGATGTTTACTGTTTAAAAGATATGCCCTAGAATTTGCTAATAAAACATCAGCTTTCATCATTAATTGTCTAAGGCCACATTTCCCACTGAGCTAGAGAAATAAAATGAATATGATTTGCCACAAAAACTATAAATTTGCTAAAACATTTATAGATCAAAAAGACTAAAGACTCATCTAGGGTGGGGAAGACGGCTCAGTGTGTAAAAGTGTGGACTGCCAACTTCAAGGACCTGAGTTTGAGCCCCAGGACCCACACAGTGGAAGAAGAGAAGCAACTATTGTAAGTTATCCTCTGACAACCACACGTGCACCTGCATACACCCACACACCCACACAAAGGTTCACATGCATACATACACACACACGTGCACAAGTACACAAACACACATCCATACATACATACACATGTGCACAGGCATACAGACACACACATACACACAGTCTTAAAAGTTGTCAAAAGAAGTCATCTATTTCCCAAAACTATAAGCATCACCATTGTTCCAATTCTTCATTCACTAATTGGACAAATATTTTCTACTCATAGAATCTGTACCTTGATGGGACAGATAGCAATGATTTTCATAACGAAACCAACACTCATTACAGTGGGAAGCTGTGATGGGAGCACTGGATGAAATATGAGGACCAAATAGTGAGAGACCTGATACAGCGTGTATCTACAAGGGTGGGAAGAAGGAGACGGAAAGGATTCCCTGACAAAATGGTACCTGTTTGGCGGTCTGGAATATGAGTTATTATGAGAGAGTTAATATGAGAGAGAGAACAACTATTACAGACTGGTGATTGATATGGCTTCAGTGTGTCCCCCCAGATTTCAAGGGCTGAGAACTTAAGGTCAATTAGTATGCGAGTGGTATTTGGAGATGGAACTATTGTCAAGTGATTGGGTCAAAGCAGCAGTCCTCATGGATGGATTACTGGGTTACCCAGGAGTTACTTTATCATAAAAGCAAGTTCTCTCTAGTTGGTCACCTACTCAAGTATGTGATGTATGTACTATGCCAACATGTATTACATGTGATACATATTAGAACGCCATGTTATAATACAGCATGAAGATATTCAGAAATTACTAGCACCACGATATTGAACTTCCCAGCCTCTAAAACCATCAGCTAACTAGGTTTCTATCTTTAAAGAATAATTAACTGATGATTATGGGGGGGGGCGTCTCAGTGTGTTGCTCAAGCTATTCTCAGACTCCCGAGACATCCTTCTGCCTCAGACTGAAGGCAGACTTGGCTTTCCCGCCTTCCAGTTCCCAAATAACCACACAGGGGCTTAATATGAATTATAAATGCTTGGCCAATAACTCGGGCTTGTTACTAGCTGACTGTTACATTTAAACTAACTCATACTTCTTATCTATCTATGCTTTGCCACATGGCTTGTTACCTTTTGTCAATATGGCATGCCCATCCTGCTCCTCTCTGCATCTCTCAGGACTCCAGACTCTGCCCTGCTTCTTCCCAGCATTCTCATTTTGGCTCTCCTGCCTCGCTTTCTCCATTCCTGCTGTCAGCCAGTCAGCTTCGTCATTAAACCAATCACAGCAACGCATATCCATGCAGTGTAAAGGAATTCCACATCAGACTCCGAAATAGTTACAGCGATGAGGAAACCACCATGCCCAGCTCTGGGCTTATTTATTTGTGTTTATTATTTTTAATAATGCTGTGTATGTGTGTCTGCCTGAGTGAATGTGCATGTATGTGCAGTGTTATCAGAGGCCAGAAGAAGGCATCAGATTCCTCGGAGCTAGCTGGATATAGGGGTGGCTCTGAGCCTCCTGATGTTTGTACTGACACCCCATCATTGGTCCTCTGTTAGAGCGCTAAGTGCTCTCAACCACTAAGCCCTTTTTCCAGCTTTTTCTTGTTATTTTGTTCATGAAATGACCACACTATGTAGACTCTGTCTCCACTGTGGGATGAAAACCTCACTCTGTCACACACACACACACACACACACACACACACACAGCAACAGCTCCATTTGTTACACAGTATCCAGTCTCAAGGGTTTTGTTACAGCCAAAGAAAATGAACTCAGATTGGGGTAGAGTGTGTGAGGTTGTCTTAGAAAGCAAGAAGCACAGCTCTTCAAAGCACTAAGGAAATGCATCTGGTTGGAAGAGGGAGCAGGAGGGGCCCTGCACAGGAGGAAACTAGAAATTAGGCAGGTCAGATCACGCCAGGATCGGGGAAGGAAGTAATTACAGAGTTTGAAACAAAAGGGAGCCTGCTCACTTTAAACTTTTGAAAAATCCTTTTGAGGTAGAAATGAGATGAAGAAGTTGGGAGCAGTGTTATTTTCTGTCACTTTTATCACTTTGACTTCTGAACCGCAGCAGTGTTTTAACAGTCATAAAATAACAATGAATATATTTTATCCCGTAAAGGGAACTCAAACTAAAACAAATGAACCTTACTCCATTTCAAAAGGATAATATAAGCACACCAGAGGGTGTAAAGGAGGAAAGAGGTGACCCAAGTAATTTATGAACAAGATATTTTTGTCACCATGCCTTCATTCTGAAGACAATGGACGGTGGTTAAATATTGACTATGAGGTTTTTGGTATTTATTGTGAATGAGCAAGAGAGATGAAGAAACAAGGAAGGGATGAATGTGTGTGCACACCCTGGGAACTACTAGACATAATCCACCCAGTAGCAATGAGAACCCATCAAAGTTTAAGCCTCTGAACGTAGTATCCCACGCTCTTGGGCAATGGCCCACTCCAACCAGAAGTTAGAAAGGGTAGAACCTGGAACATCTTACTGATGCAGAGAGTCAGAAAGTGGTTCAAAACAACATGGTGATCAAAGGAACACAGAAGCCAGCTTGAGAAGGTATTATGTGGCCAAATGTGGGAATATGCTCAGAAGAAAAAAAGTATTAACTGCAAACACACTGAAAGAAATAACACATGACTTCATATTAAGATAGAAAGCGTATGAGGAAGAGAGAAGGGGAGAAAGGAAGAGAGGGGAGAAGGCAGGGGGGAGGAAAGCTTCCATACGGTAGGAATCATAACTGGGACAGCCGTCACCACCAATAGATTCTAGATTTCTGAGTGAAGCATGGTAATTAATTGAAAGTCTATGTAGTTCTCCGTATAATAGAGAACCTTCCCAGAAAAACGGTTGCCAATCAAAAGAATAAAATGTAGCAAATTTTGCAATTAGGTACTTCCTCTTGTAGCTCTGACAAAATAAGAGACAACATCAACCAGAGATGGAGAGGTTTACTTTGGCTCAGGGTTTAAGACCAATGACAGTCATCACAGGGACCTTGGGTGAGTTGGGGATTTGGAGGGTGAGGCACAGCCCCACTTTTCACAAGAGGAAGACTGCTAGTCACTTTGTATCCACAATCAGGGGTCAGGGAGACTAAAATGCTGGGCCTCCTCTCGCTGGCTCCTTTATTTTGTTTTGTTTGTGTGTCTGAGAGCATTTGCCGGCTTGTGTAAGTTCCCGGTTCTGTCTCTAGCACAAGAGAGGGAAAGGGCACTAGATGGGTGAGGGAGAAGTACCAGGTGAGATGGCAAGAGCAAGCTCTACTTTCCTAACTCTGGTCACGTGATACATTTTGTAGTTGTTGCTGTTACGCTGGCCATATGCGTTATAATTATTATGGCATCATTCCATCCTGTGACGTTTGTTGTCAACCATGTGAGGGCTGAGGCTGGAGAGAAGATGGCTCACAGGTTAGAAACACATACTGCTCTTTGGAGGACCTGAGTTCAAGTCCTGGCATCCACATGGGGCAGCTCATAACCACCTGTAACTCCAGTTCCAAGGGATGTGATGCCTCCCCACCCCCTGCACTGCCATTCAAACACCCACACAGAGACCCACATACATATACGTAATAAAGATAAACTGAATTTTATTTTTAAAAGGGAAGGCTGTGACATATTTTTTTCCAGCATCTGTGAGGCCCTGGGTTTGATCCCCAGGACCAAAAACTAAACTCTGGGTCTTGTCACACAAGGTGATGAAAACCTTGAGAGGTACAGGGGAGGCAGGAGTTCAAGGTCACCCTTATCTACACAGAAAGTTGGAAGGAGAAAGTAAAATAAATAAATAATCAAGATAGCAAGCAAACCTAGTTATCAGAATATTGAAGTCAATTAACAGACCAAGAATTTGACAGACCGCTGCGTCTCTGGTTTGGTCTCCAGGGTCTGCTCTGTTGGTCGATCCTGGGCTCTACTTTCTCTGGCCTGCTGAGGTAAGAGTCTCTGCCTCAGGGACTGCTGAAGTGCTTTGCTACTTAAAGAGAAATTAGAATGCGACCCGTGCAAGGATATGAGGTAACTTGAAAAGCACCAAAGAATCAAAACCGGGAATAAATCCCGAGAAGAGGCACTTGACAAGCTTTTAGAAACATGAAAGTAGCCAACTTAGACACGAGAGAGGGGAGGCTATTTCAATCCTCCAGCTGGGAAGAGGAATATTAAATGTCCAAAGGACTCACTTTTAGTTCATCTTAGACACCTAAAACAGACAAGATTGACATTAAATGGCTGCTGCCAAAGAGAAAGACTTCCCCAGGAAACATGCAGCAGAGGCTGTTACTCTTGCTTGCCCCCCCCCCAAGTTCCCGCCATTTTTGATTATCTCACCTAATTCCCAAACTCCCTCTGCCAGGCATTACGACCTAAATGCCTCAATCGTTATTGCTTTCTGAAGTAGGGAATAACGTTACACGTATTCCAAGATGACAAAAGGAGGGAGCCAGGACCCAGCAGATGTTTGGTACAGGTGTTTCTAATCCCCACACAATTACCACCACACACAAAACAGAACAAGCTACTCTTACTCACAGATCATCTTCCAAAATATATGATTCCTATGCAGAGTTCCAGAAGGAAAATGCTGGCTTCTTCCCTTTGATGTGCTCGTCTTCCTACACAGACTTAATGAAGACATCTGCCTGACAATAGCTTGTCAGATGAGACTCGATGCAGCCTTGTCATCTGAAAAAAAAAAAAAAAATCCAAAGAAAAGATGCTAAAATATGGAGGCTTGATCTTGCCCTCAGCCCATCCCCTACTAATTATAAAAATAATGGGTGGTGAATGGTTTTACAGTTCTCTTAATTTTGACATTCCCTCCTGAAAAACAAAAGAGTCATTATGACTACTGAAACCCGTGAGCAGCATGCATAAAATGGACTTGATAGGGAGGGAAATTGCTTAACAGAGGATAATTAAAATATGTGGCCTTTCCACCTCTCTGAATGTTGGATCCAGTGTGCAGGAAATTCTACCTGATAGACAGCAGGCTGGGGCGGGGGTGTTTCACAGGGAGCAGACAAAGGGTAGCCCCTAAAGGGTTTGCAATGCACTGTAGAGGAGATCACACGATGCCCCACGCTTGCAGATGACACAATGGTGGCCATCTCCTGGTTTGGTCCCCAAGCAGCTCTCTTGTGCTTTTCTCTTCTCCCCTCTCTTCTACATCTCAAAAGCAGATAGATAGATAGATAGATAGATAGATAGATAGATAGATAGATAGACATGGATAGATAGATAGACATAGATAGGTAGATAGATAGATGATATAGATGATATATATATATAGCGATGATAGATAAGTAGGTACATAGATGTTATGATAAATCTTTCCGCCAAATGCCGCCTGAGCCCCACTGCCACGTGTGAGCTTTATGCCAGCCGCCCGCCTGAGTTAGGCCCAAATGAATACACAGACTTGTATTAGTTACATTGCTGCTTGGCCAATGACTAGGATTCTCATCTGTTAGCTCAGTCTCAATTATCATACATCTATATATTTTATAAGACTTATCTTATCGGACGCCTTATTGGCGTCCCTCCTAGCTGGTGGATCACATTGTGCCGCTGGAGCAGGAGCTGAGGGGAAAAGAGGACCCTTCCTGTTTCTCTTTCGCTTAAAAATGAGTCTCCTTGCTATGTCACTTCCTGCCTGGATCAGCACTTCTCTACTACATTTCCCAGAATCCTCTTTGACTCTTAGCACCAACATGCTCTCTCATTGGCCAAACAGTACTTTATTCAATAATCAATAAGATAAACATACACAGTAGTACATTCCCCATCACATAGATATATAGATACATAGATGATAGATAGATATAGATAGATGGATATACAGGTATATTGATAATGCAAAGACAAAGAGATAATCTTTGTTGTGTATTTTATTGTTAAATTCTTATAGTTAACATATTATTTAGATTACTTTTCATGACAAGTAAGTACTGGATAGACGTTGGTGGACAGATAGATGGATACATTTGTGACATTCTCCCTAGATTCTACTACACTGTGCTGTTTTTTAAAAAGAAGCATTTCAATTCATGACACTAGTTTATTCACAAATCTAGATCTCCCTTGTGTGCCCAGTCATTCACCGTGCGTGCTCATGGTAAAAGCAAAGCTGCCTTTGAGGGAAACAAGTGTCCCCGATCCTTTCTTCAGTCAGAGGTGTGACTTAGAGTCACCCAACCAGGTTCTTCCTCCCGAGATTATGAATTCTCAGTGAGTGATGTAAAATGAAGAGAACCTTATGGAGATGGTTTCCATGGCAACTGAGACAAGAGGTGCACTAAGTATTTTTGGTAGAGGAATGGTTGCTGTTTCTCCTCATTCTTGGTCCCCTAAATCCTCCATTGCTCCCAAGTCAGCCCTTGGAGCCTCCCAGCCTGTGGTCCCTGCATTCAGAAACATCATCTCCATCACCAACTCTGCCGATGGTCAGTCTGCAATTCAAGGTAACAGTGATCAGTTTCTATTGATCGCGGTTGCCAATCTCCTCACAAAAGTGACTCTCTAGAAGATGATTTACAACTATTCTAATTTCAGTAAAACTACATTGAGAAGAAACCCTGGCGTTGTTACATAGCTGTGTGGGCAAATAGGCCACACACTTGGTTAAAAAGATATTTTTATTTTATGTGCATTGGTGTTTGCCTGCATATATGTCTTTGTGAGGGTGTCAGGTCCCCTGGAACTAGAGTTACAGTGTGAGCTGTCATGTCAGTGCTGGGAATTGAACCCCAGGCCCTCTAACAGAGCAGTCAGTGCTCTTAACCACTGAGCAATCTCTCCAGCCCTTTTTAAAAATCGTATTTTCTTAAAGATTTATTTATTTATTATGTATACAGTGTTCTGTCTGCACATATGCCTTCAGGCCAGAAGAGAGCACCAGATCTTTTTACAGATGGTTGTGAGCCACCATGTGGTTGCTGGGAATCGAACTCAAGACCTCTAGTAGAGTAGTCAGTGCTCTTAACCTCTGAGCCATCTCTCCAGCCCTTAAAATACATATTTTTAACTGCTTTCTCTTTGAAATAGTTCCAGTAGGGGTTGGAGAGATGGCTCAGTGGTTAATAGTGCTTGCTGTTCTTCCAGAGAACCCAGGCTTCGTTCTCAGCCCCTTTACTGAGTGGTTCACAGCTGGTCTGTATGTAACTTAGTTTTGGGTGATCTGATGGCCACTTCTGGCTTCCTTAGACCCCTGCACATATAGTGCATACCAACACACAGACACACACAAGTATAAATATAAGTAAGTCTTTAAATAACTCCTGTATGTTCTGTCACATGGAAGCCAGTTTTTGAAAAGAAAGGGGCAGTGTCTTGGTTGGGTTCCTATTATTGTGATGAACACTATGGCCAGAGAAAGTTGGGGAGGAAAGGATTTATTTGGCTCACACTTCCACCTCTTAGGCTATCACTGAAAGAAGTCATGACAAAAACACAAGCATGGCAGGAACCAGGAGGCAGGAGCTGATGCAGAGGCCATGGAGAGGAGCTACTTACTGGCTTGCTCCCCATGCCTTGCTCAGCCTGTTTTCTTAAAGAACCCAGGACCACCAGCCCAGGCATTGCCTCACCCACAATGGGCTGGGCCCTCCCCAGTAATCAACCAATTAAGAAAATGCCAGGCAGGCTTGCCCACAACCCAGTCTTAATTGAGGCTCCCTCCTCTCTGATGACTCTAGCTTGTGTCAAGTTGACATAAAACTATTGAGCACAGGTAGTTTGCTATGTGAAAGACTGTCCCTCCAATTTATGACAGAGTAAGGGAAGATATTAATAGATAAAGCCAGAGGTTTTAAATTTGGCATAGTGTGAAGCTTGAAAACCCTTAAATGTCTCTGAATTAGAAAGAGTGCTGTTTGGAAGGATCAGAGAAATGGCAGTGATATAACTGGATGTGACAAACCTGCTAACAGTGGCCCCAGCTAATCCTCCTGCTGACAGGCAGCTGAGTCATGAAAGGGCAGCTACCTGAAGCCCTTCAAGAAGCAGAGAGAGGCCCGAGGGTGAGAGAGGGCACCTTGGGAACACGGGACACAGCTTAGTAAGACTCTGCTTGTTAGTACTCTGTCTGCCTTGTGAAAACTTTCATCGCATGCTTCTGATTCCATTAGGAAATTACTCTTGATTCAAATCTTTACCATTTCACTTTTTTTTTTTTTGTATGTATCACAGGAGCAAACTTAAAAGTGATGAATTCTGTGTTATAGTATTTTACCCTACCATGGACAACACAGAGCTTAGACAAAACAGAATGTGTGTATGTGTTGTGTGTGTGAGTGAGAGACAGACAGACACACACACAGAGAGAAAGAGTACAGAAAGACAGAGAAATGAATGGAAATCTGAAGCTAAACTGCCGAAGTTAAAGTTCATGCTGGCAGGAAATAAAAGCCAAGGTCTGTCTGCTAATCAGGGACCCAGGATGCCGCTCAGCCGGTAGAGTGCTTGGCTTAGCGTGCTTGAAGCCCCGGATCCAGTTCTCGGCACCACATGAACTGCCTGTGGTTGTACACATCTATAATCCAGCCCTCTGAAGGTGAAGGCATGAGACTCAAGAAGTTCAGTGTCATCCTGGGCTACACAGCAAGTTCAAGGCTAGCTTAAACACATAAGACATGTCTCAAAAAAAAAAAAAAAGAAAGAAAGAAAGAAAGAAAGAAAGAAAGAAAGAAAGAACCTAATAAAATAAAGAGATACAAATAATTGGGAAAATGAGAAATGATTATTGAAAATTGAAGGGGAAAAAATCCCAGTATTCTGGAATAAGAACTAGAGAAAACATACACGCAGACAAAGAAAAGGCAGCAAAAACTAGTGGGGTGATGGACTTAGAGACACAGAGAGAACTTAGCAAGGTCATAGGCTCCAATGCAAATAAGTGGTTTTAAAAGTGCTGCACACAGAAAATGTCACACATCAAGAAAACTTCTGATAAGGAAAAGGCATTCAGATTGGTTTGTGCATGATATATTATTATAGCATTAATCATGCTCTCTGTTTTTGTTTTTTTAAACAAAACACGTTCATCACTAAATTTGGTGAAACGCCAAAAAGCATCTGGAAGATCCCAATAATCTATTTTGACATTTCATCATGTCAATTATATTTGAAGAACAAGCATTTCTGTTTGCATGTCAAAGATTACAAAATCAGGGACATGAAGAACCATTAGTACACACAGAAAGACACACACACACACACACACACACACACACAGGTGCTTTACCAGCCTGGATAAACAAAAGACAAGAGTCCAGGGGCTGCAGAGATGGCTCAGAGTTTAGGAGCAATGGCTGTTCATCCAGAGGACCTGAGTTCCATTCCCAGCACCCACATGACAGCTCACAACCACCTATGGCAATATCTTGTTTGTACTCTACAAATAAAACTTGCCTGGAGATCAGAGTAGAGAGCTAGCCACTAGTTAACCAGAGAGGCCAGGCAGTAGTGGCACACACCTTTAATCCCATCGCTTGGTTGGGATCAAAAACCTTTAATCCCAGCCTTAGGGAGGAGGAAACAGGAAGTAATATGGTTGGGCAGAGAGAGGAATACAAAGCAGGCAGAGACAGGAGCTAGCCCCTTTTTTCAGTCTGAGGATTTCATAGAGGGAAGAGCACTAGTGGCCTAGTGGCTGGCTGCTCTGCTTTTCTGACCTTTTAGCTTTCATCCCGGAATATCTGATTCTTGGTTTTTATTCCTTTTTTTTTTTTTTTTTTTTTTTTGGTTTTTCGAGACAGGGTTTCTCTGTGTAGCTTTGGAGCCTATCCTGGCACTCGCTCTGGAGACCAGGCTGGCCTCAAATTCACAGAGATCCTCCTGCCTCTGCCTCTCGAGTGCTGTGAATAAAGGCGTGTACCACCAACGCCCGGCTGGGTTTTTTATTCTTAAGCCCAATTAGAACTCCTGCTACAAGATCCAGAGGATCTGAGAACTTTTAGACTCCAAAAGCATCTGGACACCTCTATGCAGATGCACACACCGACAGGTATACATAAATAAAAAATAATAATAATTGCAGGTAGGATGGCTCAGTGGATAAAGGTGCTTGATGCCAAGCCTGGTAGCCTGAGTTCAATCCCCAGGACCCACGAGGTGGAAGGAATGAACTGGCTACTGGTACACATACGCATAATAAAATCAATGCAAGTTTATTTAATAAATCATTTTTGAAAAGGAAGGCCAGGTGTGATATCATAAACTCTTTTAAATCTAGCACCCAGGCAGCAGAGGCAGGTGAGTTCAAGGCTAGCC